CAACTATAAGTTTCTTTAACTTACTAAACCCTCAGTGTATTACAATTGGTGGTTAATGGTATATTCTCAAAGCTTAATATTTAACAGCACTCCACTGGCATAAAAAGTGACACAAAAGAGCTGAATAACCTCTGGTGTGGCCAATTTTGCTAATGATAGTCTTTTTTATGTTAATGAATTATACCAAATGTTCTCATTTCATAAATTAATGCACCATCTGTGTTGTGGTTTAACTCATCTCTAGTGTGTGAGAACCAAAAGGCTCGTTGTCAACCTCAAAGATAAGATCAGACCATTTTCTCTGTCTGGAGAACTGCCTGCTGGAAACTGGAGCTGCCATTTTCCAGGAAATGGATCACCCTCTTGTGATTTTTTTCCCTTGCAACTCATGTACCTGTGCCTGTAAAGCCAAGGTGGGTTTTCCATCCCACTTCCTCATATCTCTCTGCATGGTCATGCAGGTAAAACCACAGATGGTACACGGTGGTGAATCCTCCCTCTCAAGCAGAGGAACACTTACTTCTAATAGCTGAGATTTTGGTATGTAAAGGTGGGGAATAAGACATATCATCTTTGAATTGCTGGACCTCCTGGGACAGTTTCTCCATAGCTGAGACACAGGCCTGTAAAGTGGAAGAAAGACAATCTTCATATTGTCAAAGTAACCATAGCCACTTCATCTACTGTTGGATTTTTGTCATCTTTCCAGTTCCTTTGTATCATGGTGCTGGCATACAGTGATGGTGCATTCCACAGGGGTTGGAGTAACCACAAGACTGGTTGCGAGGATCGTGGTACCTGCCGGGCCCTTCAGAAGGGTTAGAGCAACCCACAAGGTCTGTCAAAAAGCTCAGAGCAACTGCAGGATCTATCGCAGGTGTTGGAGCAGCTGCAGGGTCCATCACAGGAGCTGGAGGAACCTCAAAGCCCATCACAGGAGTTGGACCAACCACAGGGCTTGCTGAGAGGGTTGGAATGACAGCAGGATCTGTCTCAATGTTTGGAGCAACCATAGGATCTGCTTCAGGAACTGGAGCTTCTGCAGGGTCTATCACAGTTGGAGGACTGTTGCATTGCCATCAGATCCAGAAGTATTCTCTTCCCCTTGAGGATACTGAACAGCATTGAACAGAGCTTGACAGGCATGGGGCAGGCCCAAGAACACTGTAGTGATTTGTGCCTTTTTAGGATTGCCAGAGCAACAGTAGACTTTTTACAAATATTCCACTAGATACAGGATTCTGCAGCTGTTCAGAGGTGAAGTTCCAAATCTCTGGGAGTGCCCAGTGCTCTAAGCATCTGCCCATATCATCCCACACCCTCTACCACTCAGAACTACCCTGCGTCAGGGCAGATCTCTGGGTGATATACTTCAATAATAGTTTAATCTTAAACATAACCTGAAAGACATTCATGACACATAGCAATAGGAATATGCTGGTTTGAACATCTGATGGATATTCAGAATTCTCAAGAGCTGTTGTAACTAGCTCTATGGAAAGAAGGAAAAGTGAAAGGGAGGCTGAGGAACTGCTGGAAAGTGTCCTCCACTATCTCCTCCATAGCCGGGCTCCCCGAGGAGAGAAAGCAAAGTATGTAATTACTGATTGTATCAACAATATGGATTCCATAGCCCAAAGATGACTGCAATGCTGAATACATACAAAACAGCAGATTCTCAGCTGCCAATTTTATCACAATACAGGCCAAGGCCATGCAGCATAGCAAAATAAAAACATTAATCCAACCCCATAGACGGGGTTGCAGGAAAAACAAGCAGCAAGCAAGGTGCTACACAATATAGTTCCATGAGAAGACTCCCACAGAGTCCATAAATAGGGAAAAAAATTAACATTGTGACCAGCAATTATCAAACCACCACTACACCCTACATTAACATGCTCTGCCCAAATCTGCTTGGAGCTCCACACTGGGTCAGTGTGAAGTCTGGGTTTAGCCACTGACTTATGCTTTAACCAGGCAGATGGCTCAGCACCACACAGCTGCTCGCTCACTGCCTCCATCCCAGTAGGGTGGGGGAGAGAATTGGAAAAAACAAAGTAGAATTGGTGGATTGAGATAAAACCATTTACTAATATAGAGAAAAGGAAAAGTATTCTTTTTTATTACATATAACTGTTATTATAGTTATGACAAATCACAAAATAAATGTATGTGAAGGTATATAACGAGTGATGCACAAGCAGTTGCTCACCACCCAATGACCAATGCCCAGTAGCCCCCAAGCAGTAGAAGAGAGAGAGATGAACTGCCACCCCCTTCAGAACTCCCTCTGCAACATGTCATATGGTATGAAATATCCCTCTGGACACTTTAAGTCAGCCATCATCATGCTGTTCCCTCCCAGCTCCCTGGGCCCTTCCTTGTGCATGGCCTTGGCTCTGTACAGCACTGCTTAGCAGCAGCTACAAACATGTTGTGTTATCAGCATTGTTTTTCTCCTAGAACCAAACACAGCATCATGCCAGGCACTCTGAAGAAAACAATTCTATCCCAGCTGAACCTAAGACAGCCTTAGCTAGTTTAAAAAGCTTTTCAGACAAAGCATTTTTGCCTGAGAAAGTCTCTAACTTATGTTTTTTCCTCTGCCTGCTATTCCATATTGTGCAGCATAACATTACAAATTCCTATTGTTTTGCTTTTATATTCTGCTTAAATAGTTAAAGCCTTTGCAACAATACGGAGAAAACATTCTTATAAACCTGAGGGAGAAGATCAAAGAAATTTGACCATGACAGTGAAACAAATAGGTTTCTATGTGAAAGAGACACGTATGGGAAGAACATTTGAAGCTTTCCACCTCTATCAGTATTTTCAAAAAACAATGTAGCACTTCTTAAACAATGCTCACATAACTCCTTCTAGCGAAGGCTGTGTTTAAAAACACACCTTTAGAAGTGAAATTCTTACAGCATTTTCATTTCCTGGCCTCACAGCATTTGCAGATGTAAAGCATTCCCAAGCTAATTTTAAGCATTCAAAAGCTGGCTTTGTAAATTTCATGTTTATTCTCATTCAAAAGCTTCACTCACTGTTTAGTATTTACACAACTGTTAGAGACTTCCATGCGCGAGCACTAAGAACAGCAAAAAACAGTTCTGGAAGATTTCTAATCTGGCAGGAAAGGAATTCTTGGAGCACAGACTGAGGAGCATTGCTCTAGGCTGTTTTCCAAGACTGTGGTAGGCTTTGCCAGACACTGAGTCCAGGAGGAAAGCATTGAGGGGATGTCTACAGTGCAATGTGGGCTCTGAACTCTGCTGACATCTGCTGGGAGCTGGAAACAAGCTGTTCCAGTGGTTACAAAAAGAGATTTTTGCAGGGATGAAGAAAGATTGTGAAGATATTAGCTCTGGCTGCTCTTGCTATGCTGCCTGTTCCAGCAATCATGGTCTCAGTCCCCCAACACGTCATGCACTTGACACTCTTCTTTCAAGGCAGGCTTGTGTTACCCCACTTTCATACTGCCCTCTGGAAAAGCTCTAGTTTGCTGGCAGCTCCTTTGGCTGCATGACAATCCAGAACTGGGAGGACTTCAAATGCAGCCTAAATCCAAATTAATGTTCTAAGATCTGTTCTACATTGTGTAGAAACCTGCAGGGCTGAAAGTGCTTGCCTTCTGCACTCAACAAAATGGAAGCCACAAAAGAAATCTATGTAAACTAAAGCATGCTATGGTGACCTTGAAGGGTTAGGAAAGCGGAGGCCAACTCTTCAGATTACTGTAAAGAAAAGATACGCTGTTCTTCATCTGTCCAGTCAACACCAACACTTGACACTTTCTGAAAGCAAAATCTTAGTGTTAAGCAAGCAGACTTGTCTATTACTCATAGCTCCAGGAAGCGGAGTCCCTGTAAGCACATACTATTGCCTGAGCAACTTAACAAGTGCTTCTGATGTTAGAATCGATCAGAGATAAACTGCAAGAAAGACAGAACACGTCCTAAACATCTGGAAGCGAATCCATGGACTATTTTTTCCTAGCCCAATGAAGACTTAAGCCACTTAGACAACAAACTACTTCTTCAGTGAGCGATTCTATCTAAACAGGCTCAAGCTATTTCAAGTTCCATGGAGTTGGTAAAGTATGACAGTAGTCAGGATGGAGCAGATCCATATAAATCTGACAAATACCATTAATCACTGAACTCAGTAATGCCAAAATGTTTGTAACCACCTGTAGCATTTTCTTTCCTATATTGTCCAGTTCATCGTTACATGCCATACATAATATATACAAAATTATATTTGCCTTTTTAAAGGACAGTAGAAATGAAAACCTGGCTCTTGGAAGCTGCTGCTGACATGTATGAGCACTATTAAAACATATTTTACCAAAAGCTTTATTGTTAGCTTCTGAGTACGATAAAATACCACACCTGAACTGTGAGGCACTGATGATTCCAAAGACCTGTTCTCCTCTCCCCCAGCACGTTATATTCAATACAGTGCAATAATAACACCGTTACTGAGTTTTCACTATTATTTTTATGTTATGTTAGTGGTATTGATTCTACCAGAATGAATTTTCTAAACTGTTTTCCCCTGAAGTGATACCACTCAAATAAAATCACACCTGAAGCCATATCACCCCTCAGTAGACACACTGCCTCAGCCTCGTGGAGTCATGCTTCATCCATTTTACATCCCGGATTTTCACCAGTGTATGTTCTGTCACCAGCATTTGGAGGCTCCACCGTGCTCTGAGGGACAGTTCTGAACCTAGTTTGAGCCTGCAAAGCGGGCAAGAATACAAGCAAAGACATGCTTAGCTCTGCCTCCCTCCAGAGGAGGTGCAAATGGTGGGTTTGCGGAGCCAGTGCCATCACCCAGCCTACTGTGACCCACACTAAAACACTTGCTTACTTTCAGGTCTTTTGGCAACAAGTAGATTGTGGCACAAAGGGAGCACTGCTGGCTGAATCTAAACACAAAACCAGTGAGTTGTCTGATATTTGTAGAGTAAGTAAATTGATTACCCTATGAGTTGATCTTTGTTTTGTTCCACAAGGGTGGGAGGAACATTAGAGACGATGACTTGCATATCCAACTGATTGACCACAGAGACCTGGAAACAAAAGAGTGAAATTCAATTGGCACATCCAAGAGTAACATCCTCTCTGTACAAACAGAATGGAATAATTGCTTTCCTGCCTTCACAGCCATGCACTGATGTACCAACTTCTCATTTAATTACAGAGTAAGAGAGCTGGGAAGTCCTGCTTTGCTTGGCAGCCAGAACCAATAAACTGCAGGCAAATATTTAACCAAAACTGTAACTGGAGATCCACATCAGAATTGTATGCAGCTTTTTGGAAGAAAGTAGTAATTTAGCGTTTACTTACAGGATCATGAATCTCCCACATGCCACATTCAAAATCACTTATTAGCATTACAGCATTTCTGATGACATAACAGGAAAATCCAACTTTGGAAACATGCACCAAGATAAGTGCTAATACCAGATTAATTCAATTAGATCAAATTATACTTGGTTAGAAAATTGAATTATTGATCTATTTTGAATGAAACCATCAGTGCAAGTATTTCTTTTACCTCAAATTCCTTTAACTTCTCTCTCTATATGGGATAAAAACTCTCAGCTCAGCATTTTCTACCACAAAAACATGCAACTTCTCTGTTTCTCAATGACAAGTTGGAGCATGAGTGTGTAGAAGGGCCTACAAGTGTGTTATATGTTCAGCAGACCTGGCAAACTGCTCCGCATCTAACCATCTAGTTTCTTTGAGCTATGTTTAGTATGATCCCAGGCAAAGACTGCCTTCTGGTGAAATGTGTGCTGGTTTCCTCCTTCTAAAATGTTTGTTGCCTCCTGCAATAGCTCTCTCTTCACAAGTCCAACCAGCTTGCTATTGACAGCAAACATCACACCCTGTGTACCACCTGTCTATAGAGGATTCCAGAGCTAAATTTGGAAAAGTAAGTAGGACAATGTTAAAACAGATAAATTTAAATATCAGAGATATTCAACTCCATTCTAACAGAAAGAACAACTTGTGCGCTTTTTCAAAAAAGAAGTGTGAGCCCTGCAAGCACTTCAGCAGAGAAGCAGGAATATATTCTCACATCAAACAGCGATTTAAGCTTTGAAGCTTAATTCAACTTTAAATATTCAAATGTTCTTGAAATGTCATCAGATGCACTGATCAGCAGTACAGACTTCTGTGTGAGAAATACAGAATTATAATGAGCTCAAAATAAATCTTAGACTATCGCCATTAAAAGGAACTCTAAAGCAATGAGCAGTTTAATATACTTAACTACATTACACAATTCAAGCAATGGCTGCACTTATTTACTGAGTACTGCATGAATGTAAAACGTCTCTCGAAGCTCAAGGAACCACAATTATGATTTACAAAGGGAAACAGATTTGTGACAAGCTACAGCAAACCAACGGCATGGAACAAAAACCACCGCAGCACTAACTTGTATACTACATGCACTCGTAAAGATTTTCTTTTTTTTTCAATTATAAAACAGCATTAAGCCGGAGAACTATGTCAGGTTTAACTAACGCTGTTCTGAGATAAGCTGTAGGAAGAAACTGTTCCCTTCACTTCCACTTGAGGAGTGGAAACACGCTCAGAGCAGAGGTGGAAGTTGCGAGACAGCGAAAGCCCTTCCTGAGGTGCCACCTTCACTGCTCTGTGGTGGGGGCACAGTTACCTGGGACCATCCAAACCACTCTTCCTCGGAAAGCTTTTGCTGTTCCATAATCCAAGCAAAAAGTCTGGTCCTGCGATGCTAAACAGCAGGTGTCAGCTTAATGCATAAGAGCTGGCAGTCAGCGTGTTCAGATGCCCCCTGTCTATGAGTATCTGAAGAACACATGCTGAGAAGTAGGAACATTTCAGAATACGTTAAATTAGGAGCAGAGCAAACTGGATGTTTGTGGCAGAGGCTGGAAAGGCATCAAGCCCGTAAGTGTTCTACCTTCGATCACCTGTTTAATTCCTTAGGCACTTTCCCATTTTTTTGAAGGCCAGGCACTGGGGCACTACCTGACTTCTGGGAGTAACTGATGCTGAGTGCTGAATGAGGAAGAGTCCTGTGAAACCACACAAATTCTAACAAACCTTTGATTAAAGATGATACCATAGTAAATATTCACAGTCCAACTTTAATGACTTTAAGTGCTTACTTGCAAACTCATTATGAAGTGTAATTTCCTATTTCTTCCTTTCATCTTGAAGTTATAAGGGAAAACTCCATCATGTAGACCCAAACTGTAGACTGAGACATCTGACTTTAGCCACCTTGCCAGTCTCAGCTAGCAAAACAGACAGGTAGCCTCTATGTGGAGCAGCCCCTACGGTACAAAGACATTTTACCAGTGGATTTGGTGGTTTATGCTGCTCACAGAACAGTGCCAGCATATGGAGGCACTGTTCTGATCCTGATTCTGGAGAATACCTGGCTCTGCCCAATTCTTTGCTGTTCTGTGCCTTTGGTGTTTTTGTGCCTTTGTCTTCTCCCTATATTGTTCCCAGTGCAATCCTAACTGCTTCCCACACATCTTAGCTCTTTTGCATGTAAGCAATTGATTTAACTTCCCTCATCAACAGGCACTCCTTTAACTTGTACTGAAAGCAGTAACACCTTCCAGTCTGCACTCCTGACACTGACACAAGTGTCTCTTGGCAGTGGGTCAAATCCTATCGAACTATGAAGCCCAGAACAGCTTAGTCTGGCTAGAAGGCATCTTTGTGTATGGATCGTATTCAGCAAGAACCTAAACTTTCATGTTAGAATAGTGTCAGTCTGCAATTGCTCAAGAACACTGTGCCAGACTGCCCATCATTCACTTAGGAAACCTAAATACATCTATATATAATAATGAGACAAACGTCACTTCCTAATTTTAATGTCATTACTTTCTGGCCGTATTTGAATCTAGTTTTCCCACACTCATTGCATGAGAATACCCTGCCATTTTGAGAGGCCAAGCATGAGGACATCATACATTATGCTTATTTGCTCAATTACTGCATAACTCAATACACCAAGTATTATGGCTATCATCTGTATCATTTGACAGTGTTCCCACGAACTAGATAATGTACTTCATCCCTACAACATTATGCTAATATTAATCCAATCCATCATGCTATACGGGCTTTGAAGAAATTAAGCTCTGATGGTTCCTGTGACTGGGCTAAGTCAGTGTCCTTTACTAAGCACAAAAAAGGAAGTCACGGCCTAAAGCTGATGCCATTTTTGAATTGTTGCTTTCCCTGAAAGCTTCAAGTGCAGTTTTAGCCCAAAGTTATTTCCTGCCTCTCTCTTCCAGACATGAACAAGTCATAGCACTCAGAGCCTGTTTGCTCAGCTCTGTGCCTGCCCTGCATGCCAGACAGACATCTAACTGTGACCAAGAAGCTCTGTAGTGACCTTAGCAAAGAACACAGACCAAGTTAGTGAACTTTTACTTGGTTTACTCATTGGGGTTTTAAGACATACTAGGCTCTGCTTCACATATTCTGAATGGGAGCTGAGTGCACCTTGCTGCCTCAGAGAACAGACACAGCAGATCTGTAAGCCGTTGGATATTTGAGCTACCTTATACTTAGAATGCACAATCACTTTATTTTCTGCCATCAGGGTCCTGAATGCCCAGAACATAACTTAACCCACACTTAACACCAACAGCAATAATTTAAACTGAAAATTTAAACTGAAAATCATTAAAAATTGCTCATTGAACAAATAAAATACTGAACACCATGTCTGGTGTGGTAACTGAGATCAGCAACTCTGTCCCGAAATGTGAAGGTATTTCAGACAGGCATAAAAGCTCCTGATTTAAAAATGAGTTTTATTTCAGTGACTTGTAAAGATCAAGTACACTGTTTATGGCCTTCCTGTAGGTCTGCTTAGAATTAAGCTTTATGCAGTGTTCAGAATTCATCACTCTAACAAGATAAAGCTTGGCTCATACTTACAAGTACGTCTGCTTTGCTGCTCAGTCCTTTTCCGTAATCGTCAGTCGCAATGACCTGAAACTTGAAATAGGATCTTCTCATATTTTTGAACAGCATAGCAGTTTTTATTAGCCCCGTGTAAGCTTCAATCACAAAACCTTCTTTACCATCCTTGATTGGAGGAATGATGAGCCTGTATTGCATGGCACTGTAATTTCCAGTGTCTTTATCGTCAGCCTAATAGGGAAAAAATAAAAACAAGCACAGGCAAATAAAATAAATATTCACACAAAGAATCATTAACCTTGTCCTTTAAATAAAGTTGCACCTTGGTCCAGCAAATCTTTCCCACTGACGTTTAAAACATCAGATTCTAGAGAGCAGATATTGCTATTACTGTGAACGGTTCATTTAACTCTGCCGCATACAGTTTTGCTTTTCCAGCAATTTCTTTCTCCTCTGTTAACACCAAACTGTTAGAATAAAAATAAAATAAAAGGACTTTCCAGGTCTGCATCAAACTGAAGAGGTAAGAACAGAATAATCCTGAGAAACAGCCACTGTTGAGTTCTTGCTAGCACATATTGAAATAGGAAAGAGAAAATGAGCAATGTACCCACACAGACTCATCGTCCCTCTTTTAGAGGCATTCTTCATTCTCATGGATTGAGCACTTATTTTTGGAGTATTTTTATCTGCTTTTTTTTTTTTTTTTTTTTTTTTTTTTTTTTTTTTAACATCCTTAAATATTATATATAAATAAACAAATATATAGATACTATATTATATATAAATAATATATATATATATATATAAATATATATATATTATATATATACTATATTATATATACTGTTGCATAACAGACCTGATGGCAGTGCAGGACACAAAGCACTCTCCCACCAGGGAGCTGCTGAGGAAGTAGAATGCAGCACTGGCATCAATGAAGCTGCTACTGGAGCTGTTCTAACCTGGACCTTGTGCCTAACAGCCCTGTGGAGCCTTCCACGCCTACCCCATTGCTCCACTCCAAAAGGCAGCACCTGTATTCAGATAAAAGTGTTTCTAAGGACCATTAGAATGTGTGCCTCATCTAGAAAGAAGTCAGGGAGAAGCAGCTTATTGCTGCTGTACCTTTGCCTACTTGCTGGGCTGGGCACTGCCTCAGCAGCTAGAATGCCTCAGCATCTATTAGATGGCTTTTATTAGGAGACTTTTATGAAATGATAAACACAGCATCTTAAGTCTGCAGCCTCAGTGAGTGTTGGAGGAAAAACATCCTCACCATCAAGAATGGTGCATGTCTTTCTGTATAATGTGTAATTCCACAGGACTGAAAAATAAAATCAATCAAAATCCAGTCAGGGTTTATGTCAGTGTTAAGAGCTTGTTTACCATGATATGCCACCGTCTGTCTGAAAAGCATCATCTGTGCAAGGTCATTACGCCTCAGATAGATGGCCATTAATCATCATTAATTGTTTTCTCACCTTCAAGTGAACAAAATCTGTAAGGTGTGAATTGTTACCAACTCCTATGTTATCTTTATTTCTGGCTAGTTTTCAGGGGTTATCAGTGAGGATGCAAGTCCCTGCAGCACAGTGCATTGCTTTCAGGACACAGCCATTCCAGAGGGGTACCACTGGCCCAAGTGCCAAAAGCTGCCTGCACTTTCCACTCTGGCTGCTCTCAGGTGCCACAGAACAGAGAGAGTAACACAGAGCTATGTTGTTATACCTGGCCTCTTTTAGTTGGAGGCAATGAGCACACCAGTGTGCCACAGAACTGCCCAATGCAAGGACTCCCACAATGGCAGTGGTTATCTCACTTAGGGTGAGATTACAAACACTCTGCCTGTGGCAGCCAGGGAACCTGAACAGGCACAAAGTAACATTTGGTACGATGCGTGCAAAACTCCTCATGCGTGCTGCCCAAGAGACAAAAACCATCCTCGGAAATATCTCCATGGGGACACAGAGCAGCCAACCTTTTAAAACAACCACCTCGCTGCTTCCCAGAGCTGCCCTGCAGGGTGGGCACTGTGCCCTTCCAACAACAAGCCAATTTTGGTGCTAAAATGAATGCACTGGATTGCTGCAGTTGAGCAGTGAGCCTACTGTTTTTATTTTTGTAGTAGCAAATTCTACATCAATAGAAGGACATGACTTCTAATTGTTTGCTTCAGTAACAACAGAAATCAATTTCACCATCAATATTTCACACTTGTGCTACCAAGGACAAACAAATTTGGACCTAAATTAAGGTATCAGTATGACAGGCACGGACACTACATAAGTCATTCTTTCTGAATAAATGGCATGACACTGCTGCAATGGCTTGGAAGAAATGCCGCTGAGTTTAGTGAATGAAACCTTATACAGTACAGACATTTTCAACTTTTAAGCATGCGGTGGTTTGAATCCTGCAGCTCAGGCCCCCAAGGCTGGTAGAAAGGCTGCAGGTTCAATTTTTGGAAGCAAGGAGAACTTAGTGGCACTCCAGAGAAACAGCCTCAGCATCATTAAAATTCTGGCTATTCCAACGCAGAAATCATCTACATGCAGATGAGCAAAGCAGGTGCAGAACTGCCCGAGGAACTTGGAAAAATGATCAGATTCCAATTTCAAATATTCTAACTTTATTATTTTCATTTCCCCCTTTTTTTTTAAAACCACTACTTCTGCTTAGATCAAACCTAACGATGACTCAGAGCACTGTTCAGCTGTGAGGGACCACCAGAGAGAGCTTGTGAGCTGCTGACATCCATGTACCAACTTCCTTAACACGGAGTAAGGATGTTTGCTATTCTTCTAATTTGTCCTGAAGGTAAATATTTTTGACACTTCATTAGGAGGAGATATATGATGCTTCAAGAGTTGCGTTATGACTGTCAAAGAAGAGAAAGAGCAATACTTAATCTTAATATCATAGCAGTATATCTTCCTCTTGTTATGTGCAGGAAATACAGATGTCTCCCAAATTCTGCTGTGGTTGAGAACTGACAAATATGTATAATCTCAGGAGTCACCATGCCAAACCCTGTGCTCTTGCAGCTGAGCACAGGCATACTCATAGCAATGGAGCTTGGCCAGCATCACCCCATGCAGCCTCCAGCCCTGATCTTTCTCTACACAGAGGGGAAGGAGCAGCTGTGGGGCTGCTCTTAGCTTCCCCACAAAAGCAAGTTATGCAGCCAGGTATCAGCTGGAATACACTGCCCTGGGAGCTACCACTGAGGATATTTACCTCAAGGTCACTAACAGTCCTACTGTGTAATTTCACTGATTACAGCACTATCGAGATGATGGGCACAGCTGCTTTGCTTCTGACAAAAAGAAGCTTTTACACATCAAAATCTGGTCCATTGCCTTAAAACACAGAGGAAGCAGAAAGGCACTTGGTTTTGGTTGTTCTTCACCTTGAAAGGAGTGGGAGGGAAAAGTCCTTTCAGCTCAAGCGTGGAAATTTGCAGGACTTGATATTAGTGGTAGGTGGATGGTTGGACTAGATGATCTTGGAGGTCTTTTTCAACCTTGATAACTGTATGATTCTATGACTTGGATGTAATTGCCAAAGCCTTGTCAGTCTGGGTGTCTGGAAGGCAAGAGATGAAAATATATGAGCTGAATACTCTAAGTGAAAAATGCCATGGGAAGAGGACTGTTAAGGAGGGAAAGTCTGGGGAGGATATGCTGGGAGATGCAAGAACCTGGATTTCTGAGGATCTCTGTAGCAAAGTTAGGCTGAAGTCCACAAGTTTCAAAGAGTAAGAGGCAGGTAACTCTGGGAATGAGCACAATGGTGAAGAAATAAAGGGAGAAATAAAAGAAAAGAGAGAAAAGCTAATAGCTATGACAAACTTGCTGGCTTAACAGTCTTTAAATCACAAAGCAGAAATGCCTCAAAACCAGTACAATGGCAGATGTGGCTTCCGAACTAAAATCATTAAACAATCTGTAAATTCCTACCAGCAAAAGTTGTCTTGTTCTGAAAGCTATTTTAAATGCCAGCAGCTGATTGGAAACAGTTGAATTTGCCATCTGCTCAGTAGCACTAAGCTGGGAAGGAAAAACCACAATAGCCCAGGACCATTACATGCTCTGTTAGCACCCTCAGGCTCAAATCTTCTAATATTTCCATTTTAAAAGCCGTGAGGGGCGTTTATTTTTCAACGTTCCCTAGGTTTGGTCGATCTCATGTCACTTTAGGACCAGCACAACTTCTTCTCCTCTCTTTTGGAAACAGCATGGCACTACACAGCAAATTCCTCCCTGTACCCCAACGAAAGCAGCTTTGATATTCCAGTATACTTTGTAACTTTGACCCCCAAAATAGAAGGCAATCTAATCTGAGGAAAGATTTTGCTCTGTACAGCTTGGCTACTACACAAAATCACTGCATGTGCTGACAGAGTGAACACTGAGACTTTTTCAGATGGAATGAACACTGCCAACACAAGTGCTTTCATAGTAAAACGGTTGGTAGGCCAACATATTATCTAGAGACACATTCTTTGCAGGAAATTACCTGTGTGATTTAAGTTAGTGTAATATTATTCTTATCAGGGGAAGCAGATCTCTGCCAGAGGCCAGATGTCACAGCAGATGTGCACGTGCAAGTGCTGCTGCTGTCTCTGCAAACATGCTTCAAAGTAGATCCTGACTAGTACCAAGTATCTTCTCTCCCTTTGGATTATTCTGATTCATAATCACATTTTAACTAACAAAAGATTGCAACTGGCAAGGCAGCTAATTCTTCACAAAGAAGTTGTTGTCTGGTGTCCATGCAAAAGTAAAATTGGTATTCAGGGAAAACTTTGTGTTTCACAGAGAAAGCTATCTCAATTGCCCAGGGCTAGATCTCACTCTCACAGAATCTGCCGCTGTGAAGACTGCTTCACAGAATCAGAGAGTCATGAAAGCTGGAAAAGACCTCCAAGATCATCCAGTCCAACCATCTACCTACCACCAATATTTCTTAACTCATGTTCCTCTGTACAACATTACACGTTTCTGGAACACCTCCAGGGACAGTGACTTCCCCCTCCCTGGGCATCCATTCCAGCACCTGAACACTCTTTCAGAGAAGAAATTTACCCTAATATCCAACTTGACACCTGCCTGGCACAACTTAGGGCCATCACCTCTTGTCCTATTGCTGTTACCTGGGAGCAGAGGCTGGAACCCCAGCTCACCACAACCTCTCTTCAGGGAGTTATAGAGAGCAATAGGGCCTCT